GGGGGGGGGGGGGGGGTAAAAATCAAGTTCCTCAATGTGGGATGATGTGAATATAAAACAGGAATAGCTCATTGGCCAATTTGAGAAGTTTCGATCTGCTTCCGCCATTTTCTTGCAGTAAATTTCCCGCACTGCACCAATCTCGTCTAGAGCAATGCCTGTGCGCGGGCTAGGATGGCATTGGCTCTGGGGAAAGTGAATTTTTCCTGTGCTGTGATTGGTTTAACGTTTGTCAATTGTGCATGCCGACAAAGAACCATGCCAACCCCTAAATTTAGGGGTTTCGGTTGTCAATTTCCCCAGAGCCAATGCCTTCCTAGCCCGCGCACAGGCATTGCTCTGGGCACGAGATTGGCACTGCACTGGCGATACATTAATGGAGCATACCGCTTAGGTTATTGAAATTGGCGGAGCACTTAGACTACTACACACGTAAAAACGCACAACTTGTCAACAAGATGTGTTCGCAACAGACTTGTAGCATGCTTGTCAACAAGTTGTAACAATGCTGTTATTTTATCAAGTTGCTACAAGCTTGTCGCTCACAGTCTAGTGGTGGTTAAAATTTCAAAATCCGTGAGATTTGAAAATATTTCAGTGAGTCCGTGAGATAATGCCTGAATTCGTGAGTCACACGGGAAATCCGTGAGAATTGGCAGGTCTGCATTTTCGCCCGCCAAAGATTTACGCCAGGAAAATTACAACTTTAGAAAAACGGCCAAAAGCACACAATTTCTTAAACACACACAGTCCGCCAGCCCGCCAATCTACTGCATTTTAATTTTTTAACGCCAAAAACTCCTTCATGCCAGGCCAAGTGGCTATACTTCCCCAAAAATCTTGAGCTGATGGGTATCGGAATCCAATCAGGGCTGTGATCTCATGAATCAAGGCAAAGGCGATTGCTCATGATAATGAGGCTCCCAGTGTCAAGGAAGGATTTGTTTCCAATGTAACATAATTTCCAATGTAACATGTTACTGCAACCAAAGAAACCATTAATAAATGGCATGCTTCATGCATTAATTTAACATATTTCATTAAAACACAACATGTATCAACGTGCAATGCATATAATTTTTGAAGTGTGTATTTTCTCAACAATCTGTTTTAGACAATCAGAAATATAGACAATTCTACCGATGCTGATTGTCTACCGATAAGGGAAAAATCGGGCTGATACCGATCATCATTCAATCACTATTTTTGACCTAACTTTTATTTTTATTAGAAACTCACCACATTATATTACCGGTACTGGTATAGATTAAACCAGCTATCTAATTTTGGTGCATGTATTTTTCATAGATAATAACCAAAGCCATTTATTTGAAGCAAGTAATAAAGAAGATAGTTTACAGAACATTCCAACAAATGACCAAGTGTTAGCCGCGGACAAAGCAAGCACAAATGATGAAACGTCGGACAATAGATCCGGTTTGGCCAACACGCAACAAGTGTCTGATGGCCGGGGTAGTCCAGACCACGTCGAGACGCGAGAGGTGGAAGCCATTGGCCGTTCAAGAAACGTCTCGACACAACATCTTCAGACATCCGGCAAGGCTCGGAACATGACAAGCGAGAGTCAGATGTTGCTGTCCGGAGTGCAGACCATTCCTGAACAATTGCCGTTGATACTGACTGAAGGAGATGCAGAAGAGCACGAGTCATTGGCGATCATTGCTGGAAATGAACAGTTACAGGTCAGAATGAATGTAAAATTATTTACCATTATTATCATCACCATCATGCAGACCACCATCATCAGTACTACCTTTACCATTATCATCATCATCGCCATACAACAGGCCTCGAATTTCCCTGAAATCAATCGACGGCAACATGTGTTAAAAATTGCTGTAGAACGTAACAGCTGTCTACGGCAATTTTGGCAGTTTCCACAGCATTTTTTGAAATTACTGTAATAAAAATACAATTTTATTGTTATTTGGATTGTTGACAAGCTAGGAACATATGTTTACGTATTTCTTTATCTTTATTTATTAAGTGTCAAAATAGTAATGCACAGTGAATAGTGCAAAAATTATACTGCACTGCAAAAAATTTCCATCGTTGCTGCAATGATCCACAGCATTTTGTTCTCCCTCTACGGCAATTGTCACGATAAAATTTGAGCCCTGCCATACAACCACCTAATTCATTATCATCACCATCATCATCATATAAACCATACAAACCCATTATTATTATCACCATGACCACCATTAACCACCACAGCATCACCATCACTATTGGCACCATCATCATCACCACCATTTTCACCACCACCGTCACCAACATCATCTCCAGCTAACTACAAATAATCTACCATACTTAGGGTGTTTCAACACAAGCTGTACTAGGCAACACCAATTCATGTGGTTCCACCGGCATGATGGTATTTTCTTCGACAGCCATCGCACCATCTGGTCATATCATACCTATCGGTGGTACCAATCTGCTGGTTCTACAAGGCCTTGATGTTCAAGGTCAAGTGTACCAACCAAGTACTGTAATTGTTCAAGCAGCACAAACACAAGGACTAAAAGAAGGAGCAGAGGTAGAAACTATTTCAGATTTGAAATTAATTTGTGTCTTCTAAACATAGGCGGGCAGGAGGGGGCCCCCAAAATTAAGTCAGGCAAAAATTGGGGGGGGGCTTTAAAAAGAAGACATATGCCTGCCTCGTACCCAGATGTCTCTTTAATAGAATTTCGTTTAGTTCATTAAATAAATGTACAACCTTTTATATAATTTCCACACCCTTTTCTATAATTTCCACACCCTTTTCTATAATTTCCACACCCTTTTATATAATTTCCACACCCTTTTATATAATTTCCACACCCTTTTATATAATTTCCACACCCTTTTATATAATTTCCACACGCTTTTATATAATTTCCACACCCTTTTATATAATTTCCACACCCTTTTATATAATTTCCACACCCTTTTATATAATTTCCACACCCTTTTATATAATTTCCACACCCTTTTCTATAATTTCCACTCCCTTTTATATAATTTCCACACCCTTTTCTATAATTTCCACTCCCTTTTATATAATTTCCGCACCCTTTTATATAATTTCCACACCCTTTTATATAATTTCCACACCCTTTTATATAATTTCCACACCCTTTTATATAATTTCCACACCCTTTTATATAATTTCCACACCCTTTTATATAATTTCCACACCCTTTTATATAATTTACGCACCCTTTTATATAATTTCCACACCCTTTTATATAATATCCACACCCTTTTCTATAATTTCCACAATAATTTCCACACCCTTTTATATAATTTCCACACCCTTTTATATAATTTCCACACCCTTTTATATAATTTCCACACCCTTTTATATAATTTCCACACCCTTTTATATAATTTCCACACCCTTTTATATAATTTCCACATGTCTAGACTTGTCTAGATCAAAATTTAACTCAAAAGGGGAAAGGTCTATAAGAGCAGTATTTTGTAGTAATTTGTAATTCCTCTGTTCTTCAGCAGGCAAGTGAAGAGAAATGTGTGATGAAAGAGTACAAATGTCCTGAACCTGGTTGTACTAAAGTTGCTCCAACTTCATCCAAACTTAAACTTCACATGTTATCACATACAGGGGAACGCCCTCATAAGGTATGGAAACCTTGCTTGCCTGTGAAGCAGGCTTTTAGTCAGAAGGGCATCCAGACATCCTGGGACGCCCCTAGTTCCTCGGGTAGAGGAGAACTGATTACGTGATCGGCTAGTTGTGTTGTTTGTGGCGTCAGATATAACCCAATCCCTATCTCTAAGCCTAATCCTTAATCTAACCCTAACCCTTACCCTAACCTCACTACCTCACTAATCACTATAACTAACTGATGACGTAATCTGTGATGCAAATTCTTCTACCCGAGGAAGTACCCAAATTGGGCTGGAAATGGGAAATTATTTTCAATGAACCAGTCCTTACTAATTTATTTGGCCACGCTTTTGGTTCTATTTGCTCACAACAAAGATTGTGAAACCAATTACCTTCAATGATATATTTATTTTCTTACTTGTAGTCTTATATATTACTCGATAATTAGGGTCTCTATAC